AAATTTACTTCTAGTAACTCATCACACTGATTTAGAATGCATTTTTGTTTTAGTTTAATGCATATTTAAGAAATTGCTCATAAATATTAATTGCCTTTAAAATTTTTGTGGAAGAAAATTACCTTTCAACTCTAATTTCTTTATGTCTGGCCATAAATAATGGACTACTTAAGACATGCAGTAACTTTTGTTCAATAAATGTAGAGATATTAGTAGGGCTTCCAGTGTTAACTAGTAAAATGATAATTATGTTTGAGTGTATATTAGATTGATACATGAGAAAAGGTTGAGTATTATACTTCACTGATACTTACATTCTGCCATTGTGTTCTGATATAGCACATACAGATTTTTCACAAACTTGATCCAAGTTTGTTTTTTTTTTTCTTTTAGCTTTTGTCTCATAGTTAAAGAACACTAGCAATGCCCTTAAATGCTTCCATTCTGTACTCATAGCCTGAAAATTTTTCATAGTCAGTTTATATCAAAGGCTCTAGAGTCAAGAGGGTGAGGCAAGACAGCAAGGTCCTTAGCCTTCTGTTTGTCATCCTGTGACATGCTGGGGCTTGTGACTCTAAATAATCAGAACTTCAGAGGCCCATTCCTCTCTGGAGGCATTTCTCAGGGCCAGCCATCTAAGTTAGGAACTAATAACACTCTCATACTACTTGCCTTTGCCAGAAAGTCTAGCTAATTTCTGCTGAATAGAAACTGTAATGAATGAATTTCTAATCAGTTCTAATGTATTTGAGAACTAAAGTGTATTAGCCCTTCATCAAAAAGAATGATTTAAAAAACAGCATTAATATGAGTGGATAGTAATTATTTTGGAGTTCATAATTATTCTCCAGTTAACTACATAGAAATGCTGATATTTTTATTTCTCTTTAAAAAATAAAAGGCACCCATGGTCAGAGTCCAAAATGTAAGAATGCATCACATGTTCTTTGTAAGGGCCAAGACTTCAGTTATATTTATGGAAATCACAAAAGAACTCTTGAAATTAAATGAGTTTGGAGTTCATGGTTGGGTGTTCACTGTAGCTAGCTTAAGTGCTGTTGCTTCCCCACAGAATCTATTTATTGCCTATAGGAGATATAAAATATAGTAATTACTCTTACTCCCTTTCAAAATGACATGAGGTCTACTTTCCTATTAACTATATTGAGAGTTATGTGTGCATCCCTCTGGGAGTAGAGACCCAGTTAGTTTCAAGGTAAAATAAATCACTTCCACACACAGGGTGCTGTGGTCTTGTTTGCTTTATAGTTGATGCTTTGAGATACTATTTAAAACTGTTGATGCTGAAGTTGCCTTGCTTTCTGGTTAGAGTGTTGTTAGTGACCCTGATTCCTGTTCAAAGAGTACACATTTAACCTTGGAGAAATCGGGATCCTTGACTTTTAGGAATGCCTGGTCCCTGAATGGTGAAAGCCTACCTGTCACAAGGACACTAATACTAGGTGTGTGTTTGCAAGATCACATTTCTGTTAAAAAAATGAAAAACGAGTGAGATATCAGTTATTACCCTTTATAATAAGGGAACAAGAACCAGAGTTGCTGATGGGAAGTGCATGAAGCACTTCAAGTCACATGGACCCAGGCTGTTTTTACTCCATTGAAGCCTCCTCAAAGAAACCAATGTGGAGTTCTCTATTAGCAACTCTGGACCCTCTTAGCTTGGTCTCAGTGTCTTTAGGTAAAGAGATGACTTAAATCTATTTTCTTTACTATGATCATATTTTTCCATAAATTTTTACCCTCATACAGCTTTAGAAAAACATTATATAAGTTAGAAGGCCTAGGCAGACTAAGGGACCTCTGACAGTGGAACCAAGATGTATCCCTGGTGCACGAAAGGACTTTGAGAGCACATTCCCCATGGAGGGAAATTCCCTTAGCCTAGATGCAGGAAGGAGGGCCTAGTTCCTACTCCAAGTGACTTGACAGATTTTGATAATCCCTCCTGGAAGGAATCACCCTCCCTGTGCAGTGTGTGTTGGGGGGGAAGGGGAATGGGATAGAAGGAGTGTTGAGGGTCATGGGAGGGAGGTATTGAGGGTGGGAGAGAGGGAACTGTATTAATATGGAAAATAAGAAAAAATAATAAAAAATAAAATCTTGAGGATAAGAAAGCACCATTGTGTTCAGATCACTAAAACACAGATTTAACCTGTAATGATTTAGTGCCATAATAAAATGGTATTATTTAATATATTTAAAATAACTGTTTAGTTGAGATAATACAACTTTGTCTTCCTCTGATGATATCTTCATTTATTTATGGTACTGAACAAGTATCTATGATGCTTACCATACTTCAGGTTGACTACATTATGTCAGTAAGTAAACAGTGTCCTTTATTAACCAGCACACAGCCTCCTGAAGAGGAAAAGTGTAGCTCAGCAACTTCATTATAGCCTTAAAACTTCTTCCGTCTCCAATCCACCTAGAATAGTAAAATAGATTTTGTGCTTTCTTTTTTCTTTCCTTCCTTCCTTCCTTCCTTCCTTCCTTCCTTCCTTCCTTCCTTCCTTTCTTTCTTTTTTTTTTCCTTACTTAGCTATATAGCAATGGAAAACTATACTCCATTTTCAAGGCAGTGGGAGATATTGTTTAACAACACTCATACAGGTTCGAGGGAAACTGTAGGCATGTGTAGCATATGAAATTGTCAGTTCCGTAATTGTAGAACCTAAATGGCTTTCAATGCAGACCGTGGAAATTGCATTAGATACCCGAATTTGCATCCATTTAAATTGTCTAAGGAAAAGATGCAGCACAGAGCCTGAGAAAAATATGAATACTAATATCAATGTCATAGGATTCACATATCTTCAAATATTATTAAGCTAATGAGTCAGCAAAAAGGGAGCGAGTTTTACTGATTTTTTAAAAAGTCAAGAATTAAGAAAATCAAGTAATTTAGTGAAAATTGGAAAGTTGATAGAGATTTGCAAGCAGAAAGTACTTTCATTCTCAGTTTGTATTGCTTGCTAACCAGTAAGACTCTCTCTCTTCTCTCTCTCTCTCTATATATATATATATGTATATATATATATATATATACCTACATACATACATACATACATACATACATATATACTCAGGAAACAGAAATGTAAAAAACACTTAAATCTTTGGGTACTAAATATTATTTTAGTATTTTGAATTTGGTAATATTTCAAATATTCCAATTCCCCAATTTAAAATATGAAGTTTAAAGATATTCATATGTTAAGGAATTGTTATTCAGTTAATAAGCATCAGATGAATCTTTCTGCTTTTTAATTTGAACAATATCTTAGTAAGTAGGGATATATGTGAGCTTATAACTGAGAAAAAGTTAATATAAATTGTTCTCAGCTAGGTTTTTTCAACAGAATGATATTTACAGATCTGTTTATTATAGCATATACCTAAATTGTTTTGGACAGTTTTTCATCTTTATATTGTATGACCTTGAAACAATGACCTTGTATTTGAGCTATCTATCACCAATTTTTTTATATCACCAATGATATTTTTTCAGTGTTTTGATCTTTTACCAGTGACTGATATTTGCAGTAGTATTTCTCTGACCTGAAAAACCGTAAGCATGTTAACACTTATTTTTTTCTCCTGTTTTTGGTACAGTATTTTCTCTTCTTGAAGGGATGTTACAATAGGTTTTGTTTTAAATTGAAATCTAATGAAAAGTCCTTTCTGCAAAGGTGGACAAATCTTTCTCAAATGTTTACTGATCCTTCCCTGGGCTGTATGCTTATAGTTATTGCTTGTTCTGTTACTACTCAAGTGGTTGTAATCAAGCCATGACTGTCCATTTTTCACACCATTTTCTAAGACTCTTACATTATGCATGACAAAATTCTTTTGATTATTGCTATGTCATTGGCTGTCCTTTTAAATAGTGTCCTGTGTTTATAGTGATTGCTTTTTGCATGAGGGTTATGAAATGTCATACAAATGAAATGGTTGTGGAAATAGAAAGACAATCTGGGGCTGGAGTTGCTTTTTGTGTGCTGAGTATATCTATTATGTGACACTTAAAATTACTTTCATATGGCCCATTACTTCCCCTTTGGTATGTTCTTTTCTGCTAGCAAATTAGCAGTGTTAGGGATAATAAAACATGTATTAAAGATTCACAGTGTTTTAATCCAGTCATTCTTCTAAAACATGATCCTATTATAAATATGTATCTGGCATGGAATTGTACAATGGAATGAGTCCACTGTTTCTTGAAGCTGATTTTGAAGTATTAGTCCTGACTGTTTGACAACTTTGATAACTAAACATGACTTCTGTTGATGGTACCTTTTCTTTGGCAAGTAACTAAATTATCTGTTGATACATTCACGCATGTGGCAATTGCCCTAAACCCAAAACTAACAGTTAAATTAAAACACTCGGGGGAGTTCTTGTGTCATGACAAGTAATTTTAAAAAGTCACAGTTTTTGAAAAAATGTATAAATTAAAAATGTGTAAAATACAAGTGATAATGATCATACAAAGGCAGAATTTATAAAAAGCAGAAAAAGAACAACTTATGAAACATTTTTATCTTTTTTTCTTCTAGTGTTATTCTCTGGTCCCAAGTTAGAAGATAGTTTGACCTGCTGTATCTTTATGCCTGTCATAAATTTTAATAAGAAAGGACATTGAATGAATTATATACATTCAACTAATTAAACTGTTTACTTTTTATATTCAGTGGGTATTTTTTTTATAAAAATTATTCTTTGACCTGTGACTGAAGTACTAAGCCATACTGTATTTTTAATGCTGAAAAATGTTCAGAAACCAAATATCTGAGTTATTTTGGGGAAGGGTAATTTTTTTTCTTAAAAGAATAATCAACTGTGATAAGCCCATTTCCCCAATTCTTTTTGAAATATCCTTGAGAATTTTAGTATTTACATCTATTTTCCCCCCTCAGTCTTGTTTATTCTTGAATTGTCTTTTTTTTTTTCCTCCATTTCTCCGTTCTCAATCCTAGGTCCCCTTACAAAGAAACAGACAGATGATTTAGGTGATAATGACGGTGCTGAAGATGAAGGTATTTTTCCCCCACCAAATCTATTTGCATGACCAGGACTTCAATCACTTTTTCCACCCTTTTCTATTTTTTTACTTCTTGTCTTTTTTTGAAGAGTTCTTTTTTTAATTCCTGTTTTTGATGTGTTTTGTCTTCTTGCTTGTTGTTACATATGACTATGCATTTAGAATTTTTTAAAGTATTACATTTTACATTTTAATGCCAACCATTAAGATATTTTAAAAAGAGGGGCACTTCTTTTTTTCTTTTTTGGTTTTCTTGAACTGACTTTTGATATGTTTCATCCCATGTTTTGATGAACCTGTCCATATTCTATGAACTAACAATCCCCTACTTGTAGTCCTTGTACCCATTGCATGTGCTCTGCTCTGTGTAAATATTTCAGCCAATTTGACTCTGTATCATTTTTACATTTTACTTCCTTTTTCAAAAGTTCTTCCTGCTCTATTATAGGGGAGATAAGCTGATACAAAGTGTTTCTTGAACAATATGATATAGTTTTTTTAAAAAATTATCTTTTGTGTTGATATGCTTAAATGGCATATCACTAAAATAATATTGCATAGATAACAAAGGCACCACAATTCTTAGGGTGAGTAATAAATGAAGTGTAACCACATAAGCCTTCTGGTCCCTTAACAATATGTTTGTTCATCATACAGGAGATGTGTTCTGAGGTTCAGAGAACTGTCTGTTCTCTTATAGGACCTTAGTTCAGTTCCTAGCACCTATGTCAGGTATAACTCAGTGTCCTGTGCTCTCTTTGGCCACTATGGGTACCTGGGGTGACACATATTCACACACAAACACAGATGTGCAGACACTTATCAAGAAATAAAAAAATAAATCTTAATTTTGATAAGCTTAATAGGTACTTCAAAAACAAGATTATAAGTATATCATTTCATTTTAAAAATATCATTTCAAAGGATGTGTACTTTTATATATAATCTAATAATATAAAGTTTTCTAATTTTCAAAGTATTTTCTACTTCATTAATATGGGAATTCTTTTCTCTTTCCTATATTCTTACAGCAGGCAGTTCTGATTAATTAGTAAATCTAAGCACCACTAGTTCTCTTGACATTTGTCTTCCCACCTGATATTTAACTAGGTTTATAGAGACTACTGATTCATTCAGCCCATCTTCCTTCCACTCAGGGTTTTATTTTTAATGTGTACTTTCTTTGTTTTGATTTGTATGTTTCCCTAATTTCAATTTTTAGAGAGGTGATTAATATAGTATATGATTTTATGTTTTCCCCAAAACCTCAAAATCTGAAAAATATACTTATGGGAAGGAAGGGTTCTCTGAAATAAAGTCATCTTTGTCCAGGTCAACAGAACTACTCCCTCATCAAGCCAAAGGAATTTGTGATTAAATGACCTTCACAAACAAGTTGCAGCTACTTAATTTTTTATTTTATTGATATTCAACAAACCTCTGTAACAGAAATTTGATTGTCAGATGTGAAATGTCAGAGCTTAATGGTTATACCTTCAAATTTGTATTTAGTAACATTTAAGAATTATTAATGGGCTGCAAAGATGTCTCAGCAATTAAGGATGAATACTGATTATCTTAGTGTTCTATTACTGTGATGAGACACCATAACCAAGGCCACTTTTTCAAAAAGCATTTATTTGGTGGCTACTTACAGTTCCAATGGCTTCGTCTATTATAATCATGGTGGGAAGCAGCTAAGGTGCAAGTGAAGTAGATGAGAGCTCTATATCTGGACCAACAAACAGCAGACAGATAGACACTGAGATTGGCCTGGGATTTTGAATCCTCATAGCCAATCCCAGCGACATACCTCCAAAAACATGGCTCGTACCTCCTAATCCTTCCAGTATCCTATAAATTGTTAGTACAGAGAACTGCATTTGTAATGTCCAAAATTTAGTAATATAGTCCCAAGACTAGAATAAATTATCACTCTAGTTTTTTTCATGTCTTGTTTTAATTGAATTATTTTCCCATAGAGTAAGATAGTTCCCATATGTATCTACATGTTAGAGTGGGTGCCCCTGAAGCATCTGCATTTATCATACAGATCATTTTTGAATCATATTTACCATTTACAGTTCATATTAAAAATACTCTAAACATTGTTAACATGTCAGGTCTCACTCAAGACATGAGAAGCCACTTTGCCCAGATCTACCAAGTCCAGGAGTGAATTTAAATGTTGAAACTGTGTACTTTTGCAGCACCCAGTTCTACTGCAGTCCATTCATCTGTGTTTCATTAGAAAATTGCTACAAAGCAAGAACGATAAATTCAGGTATCACATGAAGAACACATTTAGTAAATTCTGATTATCTCCTCTTCAGTGAACTTACAATTATTCTGTAGTTGTGTTGTGAATCAAAATAATATATATAATAAGAGGTTTGGATTTGTGGCAACTGTTGAAATAGTATCATTGGACACAAAGTAAAAAGTGTGAATCTCTAGACCAGTGTTTCTTTGATTCACTGGAAGCCAGATTCTACAGTTCTCTAAAGCTTTCCTACAACGCACCCTGCTTCTTTCGCCTGGTCTCAGCCACTGCATTCTGAGCTCCCCTTTGACATTCACCATCATTTGTCCTTTGTTTACTCAACTGCATTACAAACTTTTCCACATCATAAACTGTTACTTCTAATTTCCTTTCTGCAACCATGTCTAGGCCAAACCAATCACATCATTCTTACCTCATTATTTATAATAAACAAACAAACAAAATAAAACCCTATGTGTCTTACAGACTAATCTGAAGTCATAAAAATATTTCAAAACAGTATCCTAGGTTTCTCTCAATTTGTTTAGGACCTTAGAAGATCACAGAGATACATTTCATTGTGCCAAGAATATCTCAATATTAGCATTTTAATACTAATATTACAATTTTATCTCCACAGAGATTAAAGTTCCCTAAATATTTATCTGTAGATTCTCATTTATTTTGTAACTGAACATTTTTTTTTGTTAACAAAAACAAAGTTAGCCATATTTTCTATTTTACATTAGCAGTTTGGAAGATAAGTGGCACCTATAAACATGAGTGAAGGGCATGGACATGTCTTCAAGTGCATCTTTACATGTATCTGACAAAAATTTAATTAAGGCAATGCTTCACAAGTTAAAACTATTAAATCTCCCAAAACTCTAAAATACAGACTGTTAATCAGTCCATGGGTCCTTAAAAATAAACAACACACATATTTATGGAATTTGTCTACCAATTTATTCACTAGGCCCATTGGGAAGAACTGTGATGTTTAGTCATAGCTGTCAAGCACCAAGACTTTCCTGTGAACTTGTCAAACTCATTGAAATTTTCTACTTTGGCCTAAAATATTTGGAAGTAGGATACCATGATTACTAAGGCTAAATATTGATATTCCAAGTATGTTATTTCACTAACCTTAAAGACATATGGTCTTTTTTAATACTTTAGGAGTAAATAATCACCATTGTAGGACTTCCTCTAGCATCCTCCTCCTCTCAAACTTTGTGTGTTTAACAAGGCATATAACAAGCAAAAACTATTAATATGCTTGTGAAATACACACTTAGACTAGAACTAAGCTAGTGTTTTAAGAACCCGTGAAGTGCCAGTTTTAGTAAGGCTACAGTAGTTATTTATTCAAAGTATAAAACTGTAAATAAAGCATAAACTCATCTACTTCATCTTTTATGTACGAAGGATGTAATAGAGAAGATTTAAAAGGCTCTATGGTTCTAAAATATTCAATACTAACTACTGGAGTACACTTAACATATGAACTAAAGAGAAGAGATACTGTCACAATGCAATTATTAAAGAACAAGAACAGATGTTATTAAATATTATGGTGTCTGATATGTCAGATCCATATATCAATATCTTGTTTTGTTTACAAAAATCAAAGTAGTTATGATTTTAACTGTTTTTAGTAACAACAATAAGACTTAAGTATTGATCAAACAAATGAAAATATGCCACTCAGAGAAAATATTGGCCACTAAAAAAGAATTCCAGTTATTTTATGTTAGAAATTTCCAATGTAATCTAAAATTTCTAAATAGTAAATTAATTTAGATTTAATAATTTTAGTTTATTTTAGGTATCAGCATTCTTTATAGTATAATATTTTATAGTATAGTTCAGAATCACTTCAAAAAAATAGTAAATCGCATTACAATTTAATTGAATTTCTAAGCAAAGAAGAAATCAGTATTCAAAATTCTTTGGCAAGACCAAAATGTTTGAAAAGTTTGAAAAACTAAATTAGAAATTTAAATCTGTGAATTCTTTAAGTATTAATTTTTAGGGACAACCAACAAACTACAAAAAAGAGACAGCCCTGGGCACAGACCGATTATTCTGACGTGATTGCACAGTGTGACACTGTCCATGTGGGTCTGCCGCAAGGTGCAATGCTAGTCTTCCCAATGTGTGCCAGTATTGTCTTCCAGGTGAACAGAATGGCTCTACCAAGACTTCATTACTGTTCACAGTGGGTGCTTTGTAATTCTATGTAATTTTAATTAAAGGAGAATTCTGAAACAGCCTCCCTCTGTGCTACCTCCAAGCATACAATTAGCAGAGTACAGTGTCTGCTGCAAACAGCTTAGCTAATGATTTCAGTTTAATAATTTATTATTGCTTCTTCAATGCCAACCATAAAAGAAAAATAAGAAGCTAAAATTGCATGTAGCACGCAAGCATTTTAGGTGTGTAATTTAACAATCTGAAAAGGGATTCCTTCCCCTGTTTCAATCTAACACCTCCACAAGCCCCTGAATCTTGATATAAGAGGGAGTCACTGGGGCTAGAGAGTTGACTCAGTGGTTAAGAGCACTGACTGCTCTAGAGAACCTGGTTCGACTCATAGTACCCACATGGCGACTCACAGCTGTCTATAACTCCTGAACCAGAGGATCTTGACTCTGTCACCTTAATCACTAGGCATGCCTGTATTACATAGGTGTACTACAAGCAGGCAAGACAGTCATACACAAAATAAAATAAGAGAATATGTTTTGCCTGTCAAAGAATTTCGGAACAAATGTCGTGACTGTACCTAGCAGCTTATTCCAATATAAAACTGTTCATCTTTCTCAAAACCAGGACATTCTCCCATTGGGGAAGGAGGCAAGGATGCATGAATGCTTAAAGTCAGGAGGTCATTTTAATTGATCTTTCTTAAAGGGACAACTGAGAACAAGTGTCGTGGCTAATGCATAAAAATGTCATATTGAAGCCCATTTTCTTTTTTGCTAAACTAAAATTCAATTATAAAAATATGAAGAAACTATAAAATAGCAATTCTTAAAAACACTGGTTATCTAAAACAAACAAACAAACAAATAAAAGGCTCCATAATATGTCTCAAGCCATTTCCTCTAGTTGGATGTCTGAATAAACAAGAGAAGCTGCAATTTTTGATCTGAAAAATGAGTTGCCATTCAAAGAATTTAGTCTTTCACAGTAGAGAGCAGAAAAAAAAATAAGGTATGAGGCATTTACATCTGTAATTCTGTTTAAGGGGAGGGCAAAATAGTCACTAAATCTTCGCCAATTCTCCCTGTGAGTTGTATCTTGTGTTTGTAAGAAACACTGCTATCAGAACTGGATGTTTCTAGGAGAATTTAGCCTGAGTATATATGTAAAGTACAAAAGTTAAACTATATCTTTCAATCACCTTTTCAAACCAGTGTTAAAAATAATATACTACATACCATGTTGCTTATGGGTATAAAGGGTGACAACTTGCTATAAAGCAGTAATGTTTTATTTATAGCCATATTTTATAATGTAATGTTTGCGACTGAATCAACACACAGGTTAACCTTTTCAACAAAATTACTACATTTTTAATAGTGATAAAATCACTTTTCATATGATATTTCTGCATCCTTATTGAGTAGCTCATAGTTGTCTTCAGTGTATCTTAGCAAAACAAAATGACTAAAATTGATAATGGGTGAAAACCATATTAATATCACCCTACATTTTGTCATTCTATGGTGATTATCTCACATCTACATGGTTCAAAACACGACATCGAAGTGGGTCTTAGAAGACAACATTAGCTACAGGAAGTGGTGTAAATACAACTTTGTCATTTTTTTTTCTCCCAAAGTCTATATTTGGGTTGGATGAGTGAACTTCATTACTTTTCTAAAAACATCATTTAAATGACATTCCCATAAATGTATCAACAATAGGTGCTCAGATGCAAATAATTTTACCTCCTAAACAATCATTTGACAGTACTTAGCAGTAAAATTAAACTCTGAAATGAATAATACAATGGCATAATTATATTCACAAATGAGAGCACAAAAATACTTAATGTAATCATGTTGTATTTGATACAAAGCTCTACAGTAAATAGGGTGAGGGGCAGATTCCTTGACTCTCAGTAGAGATGATCCATTGTTCTTACATCATAATGTGAATACCATGTCCATTTCCTGAAAACAACGTTTTAAACAGAAAATAATGGGTGCCTGTTGTTTTCTCTGCAATAGTTCTTACTATGAATTGCTTAAGAAACACTTTAAGAGAAACAGCAATTTAAAGGCAATAGAATCACACAACCCTGTCCTTAACATGAAAATATACTGTATTTCCTTATGCTTATGTGTGTTGTTGGGGTAAGAGTAATTGCCAACTATTTGTTTTGCAGATATTCGGGACAGTGGGGGTCCCAAGCCAGTGATGGTATACATCCATGGTGGCTCTTACATGGAAGGCACTGGAAATCTATATGATGGAAGTGTCTTGGCAAGCTATGGCAATGTGATCGTCATCACAGTCAATTATCGGCTTGGGGTACTTGGTAAGACATCTCTTACTTCTTTCTCCAGTCATCATAAAGTTGTCAGAGTTTTATTTGGCTTTCTTTTGTGCATCCTGATAAGTTTTTCTGAACCTAAAATTTTGAAAAATTTTATGAATTAATAAATGTTCACATATTAAGTAAAGGCAACTTGGGAAATTTTTACATTTGCAGCAGAAAAGTAATGGAGGTGTTTGTTGATGGTGAGCTGTATTTCCTGGTTTTACTATACAGAAACATGAAAGGTAAAAATGACAAAGACTTCAAAAACAAGAGAAAACAAGTTTTTGAACAAATATTTACTTCTCCTGTTTTCTTTTGCACACTGTTAAAAATATGCTTGAGGTCTTTGCTCTTAGATGCAGCTTTACACTTCCTTTGAGAACTGTAAATGGACTAAGGTGGAGAAGTTACTGTTTACTATTGCCATATAGGGGTTTCCCTTCTCTTATTTTTTTTATTTTGTTGTTGTTGTTCCATAATAATTAAGAATGTTTTCTTTCAGTATATTTTTATTGAATGACTTAATTTGGAAAATTCTCTAAATTTAGAGAAAATATAGAATCATACACTATTTCATACCATTTTTAATATCATACATATATTTTTTTTCATGGTGTTGATGGAGTCAAGTGGTTGATATGAAGGGCATACTTTATCAGTTAGGTAGAACACATCTCTGCAGCCCACTGCTCAAGTACGTGTTGTCAATCAGAGTGTATAGTCATGAACTATTCAGAATCATTTTGTTGACTTCAGATATGCTTCCAAACACTGAAAACATGGCTTATTAGAAGGTAAAGAAAGAAATGTTCATAATTACACATAAGTATCTTAATCTTCTTATTTTATTCTTACAAAACCTTTTCAAATGAAGGCTTTTAATGCCTTAATATCTTTATTTTATAGTATTTATATATTATACTATAACTCAGTCATTTTAATAGCTCTTATTCTCACAAATTTTCCCAAATTTCTCCAGTTGAAAATCCTGTGAAATGAAATGTTTGTAGACAGAAAAATCCAAAATAAATGAGAAGTGTGGAGTTAGTGCTTGTAGCTCCACCATACATAATCTATCTAATAATTAGTTAAATCATAGTACAATTTCCTATGATGAACTTTGAGATTAACTTAATGGAAACATTGCCCACTCCTTCCTGATTCCTTTGCAAAATGTACTTTCCTCTATTATGGTGTGTCATAAATAAGGACTTCACGTTGATCCCATTTCAATCCTACGTGCATGCTTACATCTTGTCTTTAAAAATCACAATGTGATTGCGTTAGAGCATAACAAATAAGCAGGTAAAAAGGGAAGAACTCACTCATCACATGGTCTGCTTAAGTGTCTGCTGCGCTGACATGGAGGATGGGATTTTCTTGGTTCCATCTGCTCTGTTGGAATCCTGAGGATCAACCATTAATTGGGTCCTTTATGCCTTCAACAAAAATCATATTCAGTCTGAGACTGCTTTTTATTAAACTTTTAACATGAAAAAATAACCAAAATGTGTTAGTTACATAGTATAAAGCAATGGTTCTTAACCCATGGGGCACACCTATTTACCCAAACCTTTCTTACCACTGGAATAAATTATGGTTCAAAGAAGTAGCAAAATTACAGTTCTGAAGAAGCAACAAAAGCTAATTTTATGGTTGGGCTCACTCCAACATGATGAACTGTATCTAAGGGTCACAGTATTAGGAATGTAGAGAACCACTTCTCTAACATATATTTTAAAGTATTAACTGTAGAATTTGGATTTTGGCCAGTGTTTTTCAAAATAAAACAGATGGGAATGTATTAAAATGAGATAATCTAAGAAAAAGAAATTGCGGGAACATTTATTACAGCATCCTTCACACAAATGTCACACTAAACCAGAACAACTCTCATCATGCTGAGGTATGAAAAAGAGGGTTGTAGACATTTGAGCTATTCATTGCGAGTACTTATCTAGCAACAAGGTAAGCCAAGGATTCTTAGTTGTGGGTTTCAAAATAATGCTGGTCAAGTTTGCTGTGGGGTAAATGTTAAAAATTGGATATAAGATAAGTTTTTTTTTTTGTTTTTTTGTTTGTTTGTTTTTCTTAATCTTATATCAGAGAAAGTTCTCTTCTGTCTTTTGATTCTGGTGTTTGTTGTGAAGATGAATTTGGGAAGCCAGTGGTAACTGGCTAAGTATAGTTCTGTCTACCAATGGCTACTGGCAGACAAACCAGTGTTTGGAACAGGTGAAAATATTGTCACTTAAATTTTTCATATTTTTTTGTCCTGTTTTAAAAAATTCACATGCCTACATAACGATCTAGTGCCTAAGGTTCTATAGTCAAATTTTGTGTGGAAAAAAATTGTTTTGTTCATTACAAATAAGGACTAGCATGGAGGAAAAACTAAGTCTGTCAGTCTATTCAGAAATTTGATGTTTGGCAAAACTTCCTGAACTAAGAGTGTTCTGTGGTATCCTTTGGAGGAGTGGCAAATACTCTTTTTCAACACTTGACATAGCTTTGCGCTCTGAAGTAAACAGCTATGTGCTGAGAACAATATATGCCAGTAAGGTTGACAACAGAAAGAGGGAAGAAGCAGCACTCTGCTTCTCCATTCACTGTCTCAGAGGCAACTAGCAACTCCTGGTGACTGTGTATCAGACTCTAAACATCCAGACTTGAACTCAAGGATGCTTTCAGTGTTATATTCATCCAGGTGTGATTTAAAGGTGCTTTGTTTCTGCCTCATTTAGCACCTGTAGTTTAAGTCACTATTCTCTAGATCTTGGATTTGAGTATACAGTAATTATTATTTGGTTACATTTTAGTCTTTTACCTTATGGATACTAAAATTTATTAACTTGGTTACTTTAAAGGTATTTTGTTTATGTTTGTATAGGAGAAAACAATCTATGTGGGTATTTGATTGTACCTTGTGCAAACGTATATTTTTATTGGCAAAAATTGAAAATGTGATGAAATAAATAGTTCACTCTGTAAGATGTAGCACATTCAAATATTTTTGAAAATATGTACCATTCAAATAATAATGAATCCTTAAATCTCATAAATCTCATAAAATGAAACAAATACAATAAGAAATTTAATATTACAGCAAGTTTAGACTATTCTAAATTTAGGATAAATTTATGTTACTTTTAGTGTGAAAAGAAATATTCAATGTCACTATGCTTAACTTAGTTATGTATAAAATTTGCTATCTCATGGAAATTTTATGAGCTACCTTTGTCTTGTATGACCTGCTAGAAGTAGCTGTGCAATTCTTTGTTCTAGTCGATATAGTTTTAATTTTTCAATGTAATTAATTGAGACTTTCATGCAAAGTTCTTCTGATCATATTCATTCTCTAACACTTTTTCAACCCAGCCCCTTCTCTACCCATATAACTTGTGGCCCTTCTTCACTTGTTCTTATTTAATGCCTCAAAACCAATTTATGTTGTTTCATTATTCCTGGATGTGTTGTCTTCCACTGTGTATGGTTGCCTAAACCAGTGATACACTCTTAGAAAAAGCTGTCTTTCCCCCTTACAATAGCTAACAGTTGCCAGTATCTCTGTATCTTGTGTGTGGGGACACTGTAGTCATCTTATCTCTCCATGATGGGATTTGCTGTTGTTAGGGATTTACCAGGATTTATGTTCTCATGACCACTGTGAGCTTACATGTGTAGTTGCCCTTTGGGTCAAGGAGAAAATATTCCCTTGGTTCTTTTGAAATTATTCATCAGCCCAGATCTTACATTATTTTGTCCACCTACTTCTGCAATGATCCTTGAGATGTGGTATATATTCCCTTTAGATCTGAGTATTCTGTAGTCTTATACACTGAATCTTAGTCAATTATTAGTCTCCATCAACTATACAAAGGGACATTTCTGACTACTCTTGAGATATGTGATGATCTATGGGTTCAATGATACACTATTAGGAGGTGTTAACTATGTCTTTTAGCGTCACAATAGTAGTAGCTTCTATACTGTGGTTTATGAACTGTCTAGTTATAGGTTCTAATAAAAAATGGTGCAAAGTATGGATTTCATCTTGTATATCAGACCCTTAAGTTCAGTGACAAAGTAGTTGCTACTTTCAAGATATTCACAAAGCTTTTGCACCAGTGAACATATTTTCCCAGGCCAATCATTCCCGTTCTTTGCAGAACTGTTAGGTAGGTATGATTGAGTGATCATTATTATTCTACTCCAGTAGTTTATATAGAGTTGCTAATATTATGAAAGCTGGACAGCAGGAATAAAATTTCCAGGATTCATTAGTTCCAAATTTGTCTGAAAATCAACAGATTTTGGTAAGAGATCTGATACAATATTTTAATTTGTAATAAAGATTTAACATAATCCATCAGAGTGAAAAATAATGAAGTAAATTATGTCTACTTATAGTAAAGAATTACAATTGGTTTATAATGACACAAAATCTAAATAGTTTAAAACAATATTTCTTAACTTATTCTGTTCAGCTTTGTTAATAAGATTTGGTGATTCTTATAACTAGGTTATTGGTGCTTAAAATACAAAAGAATTCACATAAATGTCTATTGCTTTAGTGTGACCAATAGTCACAGATAACATTCGATTTTACAATAAGCATTTTTGTGAGGAACAAAAAGTAGGCATAACTGTTGTGGAGTTTTCTTGTCCTGCCAAGTCCCTGCTACTGCTTCTCAGTCCCAAATAATCACACAGATACTTTATTATTAAACTGTTGGCCAATGACTAGAGCTTCTTACTGGCTAGCCGTGTCTTAATTATTAACCAATTTCTATTAATCTAAGTATTTCCATATGGTCTTATCTTACAAGAGAAGAGTTCTCTTACTCCTTTGTGGTCTACATGGTGGCCCTTTGCAGCATCTCCCTGCCTACCTTTCCCATAATTTTCTTCATATCAACCTACCTTCCTGCCTTTTTTGGCCAAGCAGTGTTTTATTCATCAACCAATAAGAGAAACATATACAGAAGGACAGCCCC